GATATCGTCCTCTTTTGGAAGACCAAACAAAGTAGTTTCGCTTTCACAACGAAGCACACAGCGCCTTCACGACATGGCGGCAGCAACAACAATACTACAGCGAGAATAAAAGTTACGCCTTCTTTCTTTGCGTGAACATTTGGGCGGCGTTATGCAAATCTTCCCACATCGTGACGTAGATATGTGGGGGGGGTGTTAGAACGAGCAGTTTTAGGTAGGCGTGGCCGACTCTTAACTTTTATAAAGAATATCTCTTTGGATTTGAGACTTTAGTCTTTGCAACTTTACAGATCTTCTTTATGCACCAAGAGCTTGTAACACTTAAAAGAGAAAGGCAAAAATTTAAATCGCATCATATGACCCCTTTAAAAGGAACACATTTCTGATTTGAAAGGATAACTTACTTCAGCTTTATTATTTGGGTTACGGGACTGGAAAACACCAACCTAGTGAATCTATACCACCACGCAAATATTTGTTTTATGCAACAGATAACGTTACTGCTCCTTTAAAATGCTCTTACATCATTTTCCCGTGACAGACTGAGTCGTGTGAAGTTGACGTTTTGGATTTGTCGTGGATTTGTAAATGGACAGCAAGGCTTTCACATGCGCTTGAGTCCATCCACATGAGGTGAAGAGCCGCTCTGTAGACCGCGTCTGCACGTAACTTGCATGCGCTTTATCGAGCAAACTACCGCACACACATGCTGTACTGTGTTTCTGCTCCTTCCCAAATATAAAACTACAGCCTTGCTGAAGCAACGGTGAGTTTCTGCGACTTTCTTTGTTAAACATATCTTTATTTCGAGCGATGTATGTTCAAACATGTGACGCGTTTCCACTCAAGCACCGCATGCGTAACGTACTGTGTTAAGTTAACGTTACTCTTTGAAAATAAATAAGTTTGCTTGCGATGTAATGAATTGTATTTCAAAAACCGTTATTCTATATTCAATGTAGCCCTCCTGTAAACATGCTGTTTGTAAAAAAGACGTATATCTCTCTAGATAATCAAGCATAGCTTGTGCTCTCTTAGAATCGAAGTCGCTGTTTAGCGCATTTAACGTTAGCCACTCAGTTTCTCTTGTTCGTCTCGTCATTATGGACGGTGACCTTGCTGAGTCTTACACATAAAATAATAGAAATGTTCACAAAGATGAGTAAATGGATTATTGACAGGTTAACTTACATCTGACCCATTTGTTTTGCTGTTATGAACCGTCTCAGGACTGCAGATACACAGATGCTGGCAATGTTGAGTCTGACAGGCTGCTACTAACGGTTTGCAATCATTTAAATCAAAACACACACTGACTGGACTTTGAGTGGTTGACATACAACATGGTTATCATAACTTATTTATATGTATTCATTTATTTATTTATTGTTATCTATAAAATTATGATCATGTTATACGTCAACTGTCATCATTCTTTACAATAATTTTTATTGCTTTATTTATAGGGTTGTATGTATGTGTGTGTGTGTGTCTGTATATAAATCAACATCAATTTAACTCAAAAATATATTTTCTTAATAGTAATATTAGACGTGTGTTATTTCATTGGTTTGAGCGTTTTTGTGTAATTTATAAACTTAACATAAAAAAATAAATATTTCAAGTGTGTCTTTATTTCATTTTTACATTTGTATAATTGGAAAAAAAGGCTTTCTTGAGAATATTGTTTTGGTAATCAACCTCTGACAAAAGTCTGACAAAAGCCAACAAGACACCTGCAAGAAGTGACAGCACAGTGGATTTGTAATGTTTGTTGGTATTTGTTGATTTGTCTCACTCTAAAAGTAAATTATTTTATTTTTATTTTTTTAAAGTTGGTATGAATATTTAATTAGGTCTATAAAGTAATATGAGTGAATGTAAATGTTTTGTCTCCCAACTTATGAGAATAATGTGTTCATGTGTTTTCATTCATGGCAGAGTGTTTAATCATCCAAGGCTGCACTCTTCATTGAAGCTGAACCCCCCTGAACCTCATGAGTTTTGTGGAATACTCCGAGATCATCCAAGAAGGGGATGTCGTCATTATCTTCCTGGGTCATGAGTCCATGATGCCTATCAAAGTTCAGTCGGGAGCTCAGACGCAGACCCGCTATGGGGTCATCCGGCACTCCAGCGACCTGATTGGACAGCGGTTTGGTTCCAAAGTGACCTGCAGTAAGGGTGGTTGGGTTTACGTGCTGCACCCCACACCAGAGCTGTGGACTGTCAACCTTCCCCACCGAACACAGATCCTCTACACCACAGACATTGCCAACATCACACTGATGCTGGAGCTCAAACCGGGCTCTGTCGTCTGCGAGTCAGGTAAGAATCAGTCTTTCTTCAGCTATGAACCATCAAAAGGTTTTTAATCTGATTTTTTTTTTTAGAGATCTTCAATACTCAGGGTTACAGAATTAGTTTTGAGCTGACGATACCCTGTTCACTCAGGTACACTGATCATGAACTTTCTTTGTCAACTCAGGCTTTAAACCTGAGGGTATGTTTACACGACAACGATTAAACTAAAAGTGCAAAATTATATAATCATAAACAATTCCCGTTTATACAGATCCACAAAAACAACTAAAAACGCTGTATTATACATGCCAGGGCAGTAGTTGGCGATATCACTGAAAAGAAACACTATGCACCTAAACACATACGCATTCCTATAGACTAGGGCTGCACGATAAATCGCATGCGATATTTAATGCGCATCTTGTCAGAAAGCCGGTTCTGTAATCAGCGGTAAATCTTCATCACCTGCGGGCTTTCACATTGAGCAGCATTAACTACACAGAGCCGTTGTTCACTGACGAGCTGCGCAAAACAATGTGAAAGCACGCAGGTGATGGAGATTTACCGCTGATTACAGAACCGTCTTTACTGATAAGATGGGTGTTAAATATCGCATGCGATTTATCGTGCAGCCCTACTATAGACTGAACATGTAATACTCATACATACGTATGACTAGGGCTGGACAATAATTCAATATCAATATGTATCGCGATATAATTTTTTTCAACACATGATCCTTCAGAAATCATTCTAATATGCTGATTTGCTGATTATCAATATTTAAAACAGTTGAGTTTTAAATATTGATTTTAAACAGTTGAGTTGAGTACATGAAATAAAAAGCTTTTGTAACATTATACACTATTCCATTCAGTATAATTTTTATTATTTTTTTGGGAAAGAAATTATAGAAATTAATACTTTTATTTAGCAAGGATGCTTAAAATTGATCAAAAGTGATGATAAAGGCATTTATAATGTTACAAAAGATTTCTATTTCAGATAAATAGTGTTCATATCGATATCGTAATTATATCGTATCGACCGAAATTAAGAAATATATCGTGATATCAATTTTGGCCATATCGTCCAGCCCTACGTATGACATCGCTGTTTTCACAAATTTGCATTTTCATAGTTTATACAGATACAGTAACGATATTGTTTTCAAATTTTCATTTTCAAAATGCTCATTCTCATTTTCAAAGCTCCCCGTTTGCGTTTTCAGGCTTCCAAATTGCTGTTGTCATGTAAATTAATGACCAAAACACTGTTTTTAGTTGAAAATGGTGTCACATACCAAGCTGAAACTTATCTGGCTAGTCAGCTAAACTGGCTTCATGCTATAGGCCCCAGTAAAAATGAAAGCATGTCCCAACATGTGTAAGTAGGATACTTTCAATTTCACTTTAGTTTAAAGTCAATTTAGCTTACTTGTCAAAAAGAAACTCTTCAAGTTTGTTGTATCAATTGAAACCCAAACATTCCATCAAATTACATCTTGTAAAACTCTACTGCTGTTTTAATCCGTTGTCTGTCTGTGTGTTTTGGCAAGTCTTCGAATTTTGGCTTGCGTTTCTGTAACGGACAATTATTTAACAATACACGCGTGTTCTTAATTCTCTGATGTTGGTAATTGGTCACATGACATGCAAGTAAGCAGAGAAAAATTAATCTTATACAGGTGCATCTCAAAAAATTAGAATATCGTGAAAAAGTTATTTTTTGTAACTTATTTCAAAAAGTGAAACTTTCATATATTCTAGATTCATTACATGTAAAGTAAAACATTTAAAAAGTTTTTTTTGTTTTAATTTTGATAATTAGAGCTTACAGCTCATGAAAGTCAAAAATCCAGTATCTCAAAATATTAGAATATTTACATTTGAGTTTCATTAAGTGACCATCCCTACAGTATAAATTCCGGGTATCTCTTGTTTTTTGAAACCACAATAATGGGGAAAACTGCTGACTTGGCAATGGTCCAGAAGACAATCATTGACACCCTCCACAAAGAGAGTAAGTCACAGAGGGTCATTACTGAAAGGCCTGGCTGTTCACAGAGTGCTGTATCAAAGCATATTAAATGCAAAGTTGACTGGAAGGAAAAAATTGGGTAGGAAAAGGTGCACAAGCGACAGGGATGACCGCAAGCTTGAGAATACTGTCAAGCAAAGCCGATTCAAACACTTGGGAGAGATTCACAAGGAGTGGACTGAAGCTGGAGTCAGTGCATCAAGAGTCACCACGCTCAGACGTCTTCAGGAAAAGGGCTACCAAGCCACTTCTGAAACAGAAACAGCATCAGAAGCATCTTACCTGGGGTAAGGAGAAAAATAACTGGACTGTTGCTCAGTGGTCCAAAGTCCTTTTTTGAGAACAGTCGATCCAACAATACAGACGAGCTGGAGGCTCATTAGTTGACAACAAGCTGATCGCTTCCATGCCACACCTCACTGATGCTGGAATTTGTGCTAAAGGAGCCCCGACCAAGTATTGAGTGCATAAATGAACTTACTTTTAAGAACTTGAACTTCTCTGTTTTGTAAATTCTTTTTTTGATTGATCTTAGGAAATATTCTAGGGTCATTCCGTGTCAACTCAACCAGAGGTTGATTAAAAATATTAGAAAAATAAAAAATTTGAGCCGGGGAAGTTTTTGAAATTTGGTTGATTTGACACTGAATGACCCTCTAATACTTTCATGAGCTATAAGCTCTAATCATCAAAATTAAAACAAAAAAACTTTTGAAATGTTTTACTTTACATGTAATGAATCTAGTATATATGAAAGTTTCACTTTTTGAAATGTTACAAAAAAATGTTTTTTATGATATTCTAATTTTTTGAGATGCACCTGTATAGAATTTAAAATGGTACAGGAAACCACAATTTACTATTTTTTTTTCTTTCATATATTGGGGTTTGAACTATGATATTTTATCCATAAACCAAATTTCATGTCTCATATTACTACTGCTGAGACATCCAGAGACAAAGAACAAATACTCTACTGCTAATGGAAATAGTTACTTTTAAAGGCATTCAGACTTCACTCTTTACAAGAAACTTATGCTATAAACAACTGCCCACAAAAATGTTGACAATTATGTAAATGTGAATATAAATAAAGTGAACCTAGCGCACATGACATTCCCAAATGCACATTAAACTCAGAGTTTGCAGAGATGGGGTTTGTGAGAAGCAACATTTACTGTGAACTGAGTGGCTCTGTTATGAGCCGCAATCATGTAAATTAACACATTGCCACTCTTCACCCAGCGTAACAGATTATATACTTATTTAAATCAGCCTTTGATTTGATAATCTCGATTTGATAAGATGTATCAAGTTTGGTTTTATTTCGATTATTTGTGCTTCTCCTTGTTTATTCTCATGTTACATTCGATTTAATTAATTATTGCCTTTTTATCATCTCACAAACCCCTGTTTGGGAAAACCTGGTTTATATCATCGTAAAATGTGAACTGCATTATCGCACATCTCTCTATACAAAGCTTGGTATAGAAGTATATCCAACTTTATCAGCACACATACAGTACGCTCACGTAAAGTGATTACATAGATTATATAGATAATAATGTCATGATTTATGTAAACTGCTTTGAAATAATGTCTTTTGTGAAAAATGCATTACAAATAAAATTAACTTGACTAGTTAGGTTGCAGTGGGCAGAGAATATTAGGCAGAGAAATCTTGGAGACGAGACTCTTTGGCTATTTGGCCCATTCAGTAAGTGTTGGGCCTCTTGAATTCTGAATGAATCAATTAAACCGCTGTTAAGCGTACACACACACACACACTCTGCTCTGTCCTCAGTGCCCTCCAAACTCATTGAGCTGGATGTGTGTTTAACAAATTGATATCTGAGCAGCGTTCAGGTGAGGCTGACTATGCCACAGATTTGGCATATGTGCAGTATTGATGTTGGTTTATCACCATTCAAGGATACTGTTGGACATTACTTTTGAAACTTTCTAATTTCTGTGTGATCGTTCTCCCCTGCTTAGCCTCTCGTTCTTACGTCAGTCATTCTGTTCTATCTGAATGCATCGCTGTAGACCGAACATTGACCCTATTGTTGCTATGAGAACAAAAGGCATGCTAATGGGTTCTTGAAGAGGAAGATGGGCCATTAACACCAGAACGTGTTCACATGCACGTGCATCACAATGTTCATGCACAAGTGATTGCTGTGTTTAACTTTAAATGATCACTTTTATATGCACATAATTTTCTGATTAAAGTCAGTATTTCACTTAAGATGTTTTCTGTTATTGGAATATTCCAGTATACATGGTAGTGTACCGAATACTAAGCATTCATGTAGTTTTTCTCCTAGTCTTGTGGAAATACTGGAGATGCTTGCTTTTGCCATTTATTGCAGTGCGTGTTATTCTGCACAGCAACTTAACCAGCTCATTAATTCTCATTCATGTCATTGACAAAAGCACACAACAGTGCAATGAACTGTAAAATGTAGATTAAGAGACTTTGTGCAAGACACTCTGATGTTGTAAGTTCATCTGTAAATTACTTGTTCTGCCTAATATTGGTGGAATCACTTTGATTTTGATTCTCCTGTTAATCTGAATCTCCCTGTGTATTTATTTATTTGTTTATTTATTTGGATCCCCAATCCCCATTAGCTATGCCCTAAATCATTGCTAGTCTTCCTGGGGTCCACACAACACTTAACATTCAAACATTAATACATACATTCAAAAAAAAATAAAGAAAAAAAGAAGAAAAAAATAAGTTAAATGCATTCTCCACATTCCAAAGCATCTCTAATAAACATTTCTTCCACCCTTTTTAATAACACCTAAAACGTATTGCTCATTCAATTAATTCCTATACTCAACCTCCTACAAGTACAGAATTCCAAGGTGTGCCTTTACCTGCCTTTTAAAATCAATTTTTCGTGTTATCCCAATTAATGACAATGGTAAAAGACTCCATGATTTCATTGCCCTAAATGTTACTGTACGTTTAAGAAAATTAGTTTTAGCATTAGGGAGTAGAAATCTACCCTCTGTTGCTCGTCTAGTAGCATATTCATGTGACTGAACATTAGATTGTAATTGATTAGACTCATCCAATGGAGTTTTAAAGTGTAAAACCTTCCATGTTGATAACAGTATTGCAGCAATCATCCTATCTTCCACTCTTAGCCATTTAAGATCAAAGTGCATACTATTAATATTCGTACCATACGGACACTGGAGGATTAATCTCGCTGCCTTATTTTGTACCAACTGGAGTTTCCTCAAATCTTTTTTTTGTAGCATTGGCCCATATTATCTGACAATAGTCCAGCTGTGAGAAGAACAGAGTGTCCAATATTATTTTCATTATATCAAACGTAAAATAACTTTCGGAATAAGTGTTTTATTTATATATAATTTCAGCTCCGGTTTGGACCGTAGAGAATACTGTACCCAAATACTATACTCTTTGTTTTTAGATGTATTTAGTATCAACTTGTTTTCTAAAATCCACTTTTCTGTACTCTCCAACTCCTCATTCAAAATAGCAGATGCATAAACTTGTTGAACATGTTGTATCGTCTGCATACATTGTTAATTTAACACTTCTTAATACCAGATATAAATCATGGTATTAATGATTTATATGATGTACAGTATCTCACATAAGTGAGTACACCCCTCACATTTTTGTAAATATTTTATTATATCTTTTCATGTGACAACACTGAAGAAATGACACTTTGCTACAATGTAAAGTAGTGAGTGTACAGCTTGTATAACAGTGTAAATTTGCTGTCCCCTCAAAATAACTCAACACACAGCCATTAATGTCTAAACCGCTGGCCACAAAAGTGAGTACACCCCTAAGTGAAAATGTCCAAATTGGGCCCAATTAGCCATTTTCTTTCCCCGGTGTCATGTGACTCATTAGTGTTACAAGGTCTCAGGTGTGAATGGGGAGCAGGTGTGTTAAATTTGGTGTTATCGCTCACTCTCTCATACTATACATACAAATAATATTGCTAAATGTTATTACGATATAAAACAATGGTTTCTATTTTAATATACTTTAAAATCAAATTTATTCCTGTAATTAAAGCTGCATTTTCAGCATCATTACTCTAGTCTTCAGCATCACGTGATCCTTCAGAAATCATTCTAATATGCTGATTTATTATCAGTGCTGGAAACTGTTGTGCTGCTTAATATTTTTTTGGAACCTGTGATGCTTTTTGTCAGGATTCTTTGATGAATAAAAAGTTAAAAAGAAAAGCATTTATTTAAAATGGAAATCTTTTCTAACAATATACACTACCATTCAAAAGTTTGGGGTCAGTACATTTTTATCCTTTCTTTTTTTTGAAAGAAATTAAAACTTTTATTCAGCAAGGATGTGTTAAATTGATAAGAAGTGATATCAAAGATTTATATTGTTAGAAAAGATTCATATTTTGAATAAATGCTGTTCTTTTTAACTTTTTATTCATCAAAGAATCCTGAAAAAAGTATCGCAGTTTCCCCAAAAATATTTGGCAGCACACCTGTTGCCAGCATTGATAATTATAATAATAAATCAGCATATTACAATGATTTCTTAAGGATCATGTGACACTTTAGACTAGCGTAATGGCTGATGGAAATTCAGCGTGGCATCACAGAAATAAATTATATTTTAAAGGATATTAAAATAGAAACCATTATTTTATATTGTAATAACATTTTGCGAGATTACTGTTTTTTTTCTGTATTTTTGATCAAATAAATGCAGCCTTGATGAGCATAAGAGACTTCTTTAAAAAACATTACATGTCTTACTGATCCCAAACTTTTGAGCGGTAGTGTATATGGATTAATTTTACAAACTCTTTATAAAATATTTGAAGCTTGAAGTTTTGGTGGAATAGACTTTCAATAGTGGGAAATCTCTCAGGTTTTAATAACAAAAGTTTAATTGATTTGGAGCGACATGAGGGTGAGTAAATGACAGTATTTACATTTTTGGGTGAACTATTCCTTTAATGTTATGGCAGTGAGGTGCTTAATTTGAATACGACCAAATTCTGATTAATATTCAGAGTGAAACTGTTGCATTCTGTGTAAGCATCTAAAAATGGTAATTACATAACAGTAGATTTTGCGTCTGTCTTCCAGGTACAGGCAGCGGCTCCCTGTCTCACTCTATTCTGCGGACCATCGCTCCCACCGGCCACCTGCACACGGTGGAGTTCCACGCTCAGCGAGCCGAGAAGGCCATGCAGGAGTTCAAGGAGCACAAAGTGTCTCACCTGGTTACTGTTAGAAACCATGATGTGTGCAAGGATGGCTTTGGCACCACAGCAATAGCCGATGCAGTGTTTTTAGACATCCCCTCTCCGTGGGAGGCAATCACACATGCCAAGAGCGCCATGAAACGCAAAGGTGAGAGCAGATAACTGTGAAATAACTAAATCGACATTACCATATTAATGCTAAATGTCATGTGGTACTCTGTCGTCGTGACTTACTCTTCACAGATGAAGCCACTGAAATGAGTCTTCAAGTAACAAGATATAAATGCTACTGAATACCACAGTGACCTTTATGAACACAAAACCTCAGACACTTAAGTGGTGCTGGCACAAAAATGTACAGTTTGCACACACTTATTTAAAGTACTGTGGAAGTGTAAACACTGTGGTATTTACGTAGTGCTCCAAGCTACTTCAAAGAATACCATAGTGAAACAAGGGACATTTCCAAAAGAAGAAAACATTGTGACACCGTGTTTAAATTTGCAGTGTGTAATATCTTCCTTAAAGGGATAGTTCACCCAAAAATGAAAATTCTGTCATTATTTACTCACCTTCAAGTTGTTACAAACCTGTGTGAGTTTCTTTCTTCTGTTGAGCACAAAAGAATGAAGAAGTAAAGAATGTTGGTAACCAAACAGTTGACAGTAACCATTGACTTCCATAGTATGGAAAAAATACTATGGAAGTCAATGGCTTCCATCAACTGTTTGGTTATCGACATTATTCAAAATATATTCTTTTGTGTTTGTTAGAAGAATGAAACTCAAAGAGGTTTGGAACAACATGAGGGTTTTCATTTTTGGCTGAACTCTCCCTTTAACTCCCCCTGATTGCCATTGATGTCAAAGAAATGGTCAAATAAGCTCCGGGGAATGGGAGGTTTGGTGTGAGATTCATAACTGATTTGTTTAAATCTATATTATGTGTAGGTTTTCATCTCCGTTATGGATGCAGCTTCTTTGAAACATTGACAAAGGCCCATTTTTCTCTATAATTACATCTTGGTTTTGTGCCTAAATGATGTCACACCAGTAACTAATTAATCGTGAGACTTTGGCTTGAGTTTGCCCAGTTTGAGCGGCATTCATAGCTTCTGTGTGCGCATCTGTTTTGTCTGGTCTCTCTGTTGGAATAACTATTTGGTTTTATTGAGTGGCCATATCAGATCTGGTCTCTTCAGAAGTGACCTGACCACTTTGCAAGAGGCTGTTTCCATGGGAACTGCTACCCACTTTGCCCTACTGGGCAGGCCCAGACTAGCCTGTCCCAGTAAGGGGTCAGCAATCTTCTGTAGTATATTGAAAGAGTAATTTTCATAAAATGCCTTAAAAGGTCTTATGGGTTTGGAACGACATGAGGGTAAGTAATTAATGAAAGAAATTTCAGTTTTGGGTTACATTACATGCCATTGTTTAATATGTACATGCTTGTAAAGATTCTAAGAGTATAAGATCAGAGAGGATCTCCTGGCGATCTCGAATCTCTCTGTCTCATGCAAGTGGAATTTGTGCCTCACTCTATGCCACACCCCCTCTTGGAGACTCAGTCTATCTGATTTGTAATATACACACATGCTGGATGTTTTTGCTGGCAGGGTAATGACCATAAAGGGGCAGGCAGGGAGGCTTAAGTGAGAACGGGCAAAACTCAGTGAAGCTTAGACACACATCTGCTGGCTTCTTTCTGTGTGTTTTGACAAATTGTCTTTCTTGTGCACTACTTATCAGTTTTCAGTGTAGAAAACTTAAGCACAGCTCTGGCTGTGAAAGCTTTGGATAACTACAAGCCAGTTGTCCTTGATTGCTAATATCCTTCTCACATCATATGCATCTTTTACAGCAATCAGAGGGATTTTATCTAACTCTTTATCCTATCTGTTTTTTTATTTCTTCTCATTTTTGGCCTGTTAGTCAGTCTCGTTCTCTGTTTTAAGTGCTCAGAGGATCCCAGCTGTTGGCGTGACTCCTTTCTTTCCCAGGCCCCTGTTACCAGGAGACCTGTTGAGCCTGGTTGCCAGGAGGCATGATGTCTCCGTTTATGACTGCGTTTTCATGGAAAGGCCTTATTTGTCAATGGAATGACACGATAAACTTCTCTCTCTCTCTCTCTCTCTCTCTCTCTCTCTCTCTCTCTCGCACTTGTGAAATATACTTCTGTTAGTGCTCTTCAGCAACAGTCTTTATTCGTACATCACCCCTGTTCCAAATCCTAGCGAGCTGCCTACATAGGCAGAGTTTCAAGGCATCATCAGTGCACTCCAGACACAAAAGCTGTTCCAAAAGAATCTAAGATCCCTTTTTTGTCCAAATTCAAAAAACTAGAATACACTACACAACAGATTTTTAGAACACTAGGCAGATATTTAAAAACTAGCCATCGTACTCTTTTGTTTAGACACCATTTGTTTGTTTTAATCTATTTATTTAAGTAGATCCCTGATTCATCTCTTGTGAGAATTGTCAGGATCAAGAGAGACTTGGAACTTTGATCAGAGAGAAGGCAAACTGAGCCATTGTTGGAATGCTTTCCTACAGTGTTTGCCATTCATTATAGTTCTATAATTAATGTTGACAGTGAGGGATAGGGTCATGCTGGATTAACTGAATGTGATTGGATTGAATCTAAAAAAAGATCCATAGAGTAAAATATACCCATTGAGGTGTCTTCCTCAATATGCTCCTCTCCTCACAGCACCCTGTCTATCTTCTTACTCTGATCAGCAGTGGCTATTCTTGTGCATGTTAGTAATACCACCTTTAGTCCAAATTCCCTCCATCCGTGTTAGTGGAGAAAGAAGGCAAAGGAGCCACCCGTCCTCCATTTATCCAGTTATTATGAGACCGTTTAACAGTAAGCCAAGAATATGCAAGCATGAGCCTGTTGACTGCTCTCTGACCCTTTACAGCTTTGTGAGCTAACTCATGTTTCCAGTAAAATGGAACCATATTATGTACGACATCAATTCCTGACAATTCTCAGCAGGCCTGCATGTAATCTGCGCCCACAGAAGTTGCTGAAAGCTCTGTAGATTTCTGTTTTTACTGCTTTTGTTGTTTGAGCAGCCTGATAGAGTGTGACATAACTATTGGCTTAACCAATGATGTGATTTTGGGGGTGGGGCTTCTTACAGTGGGAGTGTTTAAAACTTGTTTGAACAGACATCTGTTTTGCAGTTGTGTTTGATGCTCCTAGTGAAATACTTCAGCTTTGCATCACTCCACAGAATTCTGCAGATTTCTGCAGAATATGTGGAAAATATCACACTTCACTGTGTGGGTCTGCTAATAAGTTTAAAGGGATCATATGACGTTGCTAAAAAGAACATTATGTTGTGTATTTGGTGTAATGAAATGTGTTTGTGAAATATACTTCTGTTAGTGCTCTTCAGCAACAGTCTTTATTCGTACATCACCCCTGTTCCAAATCCTAGCGAGCTGCCTACATAGGCAGAGTTTCAAGGCATCATCAGTGCACTCCAGACACAAAAGCTGTTCCAAAAGAATCTAAGATCCCTTTTTTGTCCAAATTCAAAAAACTAGAATACACTACACAACAGATTTTTAGAACACTAGGCAGATATTTAAAAACTAGCCATCGTACTCTTGCCGACTTTGTAAATAGTTTGAGGGAAAACTGTGAATCACACACAAGCCATCCAGAACACAACACAGCACACACACTCAAACATGTGCCTTGTTGCTAGGAGATGTGTGACAAATAAAAACAACGTGTTGTAACATTGGTTAAAAATATCAAACATGTTTGCTGTCCTCCAATCAATACAATCCCATAATATATTCCCAAAAAATTGCCTGATTTGTAGTCTGTAGTCTTCCATTTGATTCATACAAAAATGTACTTTTTTAGTGGAACAAAAAAAAAAAAAACTTGAAGGTCCACTCCCAAACCTAACCTTCAGTCAGGTGCAAAACAGATCATACGAAAATCCATTAATGAGATCATACCTTTCACTACCAATTCACCAAAACCTAAAAGAGTTATTCATTTCCATAAGAGTGTGATATCAAACGTTTAATATTTTGAGCAAATTTTAGAACACATTTGTTTCATTTGTCATTGGCTGAAGGTTTCTGCGTGAGTGTGTTGTGTTCTGAGTGACTTGAAAGTCTGGTAGTGTCTCTCCTCACTCATTTAGTGCATGATGCATTTTCCTCTGTAACCATTTATAATGTCATCAAATGTATGATACCTCGTGTTTTTGTTCAGATTTTAAACGTTGCGTGTTCCAGCCTTAAAGGGATAGTTCACCCAAAAATAATAAAATTGTCATTAATCACTCAACCTCATGTCATTCCAAACACGTAAGACATTGGTCTCAAACTCAATTCCTGGAGGGCCACAGCTCTGCACAGTTTAGCTCCAACCCTAATCAAACACACCTGATCCAGCTAATCAAGCTGTTCAGGATTACTAGAAACTTCCAAGCAGGTGTGAGTTGGAGCTGGAGCTATATATATATATATATATATATATAATCTTGAGCTTAATTGTTATGAATAAAGTGTCATAATGCAAAAAAACATTTAAAAAATAAACTTAATGGCTTTTTTTCTTCATCCAAATCTAATTTATATTTTTTGTAGCTTTTGTTTATTGCAAAAAATGACCTTAACATTTACCGAAGCAGACTGTGATATCACAGAGAGGGGCGGGGCTCAGTTTGACCGTGCGTGTGGATGTTTTTTTGTTTTTTGGGATGTGTATGATATGTTCTGTATAAATGTACATGTACAGTTGTGATGTATAATCTCCCATCATGTAGAGAGGGCAGAGGAAATATATTTTCAAACCAAACGAGTCATGCACTAAAATAACACGAGGACTGAATATGCTGTAATCTCTGGGCATCAGAGTGTGTGTGTGTGTGAGAATGTGGTTTTTCTACAGAACGTCGTTATTCACATATGGGAGAAGGGATGCTGAAGCTGCTTTCTTCAGTGTGTGTGTGTGTGTGTGTGTGTGTGTGTGTGTCACAGCGCAAAGTTGATGTATTTCATTAGCGACCAGCACGGATCAACTCCAGGCATGACGAAGCGGATATTGTCCTCTTTCGGAAGGCCAAACAAAGTAGTTTCGCTTTCACAACGAAACACACAGCACCTTCATGACATGGCGGCGGCAACAACAATACTACAGCGAGAATAAAAGTTATGCCTTCTTTCTTTGCGTTAACATTTGGGCGGCGTTATGCAAATCTTCCCACATAGTGACATAGGTATGCTGGGGCGTGTTAGAACGAGCCGTTTTAGGTAGGCGTGGCTGACTCTTAACTTTTATAAAGAATATCTCTTTGGATTTGAGACTTTAGTCTTTGCAACTTTACAGATCTTCTTTATGCACCAAGAGCTTGTAACACTCCAAAGAGAAAGGAAAAATTGAAATCGCATCATATGACCCCTTTAAAACAGTTATTTCTGCATGGGATTTGTGGATCTAGTGAGAATGAAACAAGGTCAGGTTACATGGTCATTTCCTTAAAGCACTGAATAAAAATGTTCTTGTTCCAGGTTGCTTCTTTCAAGTTTCAGGTTTGATTTGACATCAGCCACAATAGTGAACTTCCCTTTTGGGTGTTTGATAAGGTTTTACAAATAGTAACGCTTGTTGCAGTTCAACAGGGAGATTCATTCATACTACTAATAAAAATATATTTACGTTTGCACAGAATGTAACACTAGAAACTTTCTAGTGTGTGTATGTATCGTCTGCTCTTGTTCGTACATGCTGTTAACTTGATTATACTTCGAAAGGCTTTGTGTTTGGCTGTACATATGTTAGTGTTTGTGTCAAAAAAAGTATACTTTTGAACTAATAATGTGCTTTCCAACTTCGTTCAGTTGCAGCCGTTGTTAGCAAATGACTATGCAGGAGAAGACGGCAAAATGGATGGATACCGTTGCATGCTTGTCAGCACTTTTGTACTTTGGATTTTGAAAATGTGGTTTTGTTTCCAAAGCGCCAACACAGATCGGCTCGCGTCTATTTCTCATGATTATAATGCAAAGGTTCCAAAGAATGCGGGAGTCATTTTCTGCTGAAGGCAAGTGGAAATGAGATATCAATTCTCTCTGCTTGGAGCACATCAGTCATGCTTGTCAGGAAAGCCAATGAGAAAATGCATTAATACAGTTTGTCCAATTTTTGTCATGAATAGCAGTTCACCTTCATGATTAGGTACAATTGGGATCATGTCAGAAACAAACCGCACTGGAGTTTGCATGAATCATACCCCAGATCACTCTTTTTAGGTGGACTCAAGTACAGTTTGTGGATGCGCAACAGCATTCACGTTATCCAAACGAACCAAACTCTGACGTCTAGTGTGAAAGCCCCCTAAAAAGGTCAATAATTAGCTGACTGCTTCTCTTCTTGGCTTCGTCTTCAGGAGGTCGTCTCTGTTCCTTCTCGCCGTGTATAGAGCAGGTCCAGAGGACTTGTGAGGCATTACTGGACCATGGCTTTGAGGAGATCTGCACACTGGAGGTTCTGCTCCGGGTGCATGATGTTCGTACTGTCAGTCTGCCCTTACCAGACTTCGGACCAGAGGAGGGCTCTGTTGACAGCAGCCAGATGGCTTCAGATGTTGGTCAAGAGGAAGTCCCAAACACTGGGAACACCTCTGTGATCTGTAGAACTGCCAAACCTCCCAGAGAAATGGCAGGACACACAGGATACCTCACCTTTGCTACCAAACCCCTCAACTAGAAGCATAACTGAAGCTGATGGCGACTGTTACAGAGTTTGAGTTATGCAAACTCATGTCATGACATGTGACGTCATTTGTGCACACCTGTGTGGTCTTTTTTATTTTTATTTTTTTAGATTGGTTAACAGCTAGATGGGCTTTTACATCAATATAACAGTTCATGCCATTTAAAAACTGGTTTAGTACGGACTGATGTTCATTTTTTATTTGTATGGTTTTATTTATTTATTTTTTAATAAGTAGATTGTTTTGCTACAATAAATTATTGGAATGCAATAACCATATCTTTGTAGATTTTTTTTCTTGTGCTGTTGGCGTTGTTGCAACTTTGATTGATGCCATACAAGCCTATAATTATTTTCATGTGATGGTTATAAATAGTAATAAAATGTGAACTTTAAAATCAATAGTTTAAATGCCACAAGTGAATTTAGGCATCACAACATTATAACGTACAGTGTGAAAAATGGCTACTAATTTACTAAAGATTACATTCAACAGTGGTATTGAATAATTAATGTTTTTAAAAGATTAAGTGTGCGTTGGATGACTGCAAAAGCAGGTTTACTTTAAAACTATTTTCACTTAGAAATTGCTAGTAAATGTGATACAAAGAAACAGCAACTAACAGAAGTAGAAAGATTAGTATGTTCTTGTAAAACATTCTCCAATAATCTTTATTCACAACTCCGAAAAATACTTTTTTACAGTGTACCAAAAAAAAAAAAATCATATAAACTGATGACTTATAACCAATATAGTGCCAATATAGTATGCGTCCCTAGTAAAAAATTATAAAAAAATTCAAAGTTGTAAACAGATTATTGGACTATTTTACAAGAAAGTTTTTTTCCACTATGTTCACTTCAAAGTATTATTTGCCGCTGCTTTGTAACAGTGTGTGAAATTTGCTAATAATTTCAGGGAGAAAATTGTTTCTACACCAATTTTTTCTTTTTTTTTTGGTGTATATTAGTCAAATTCAAAAATGAGTCAAGAAAGAGATGTTAATCATGACTGATATCACTTTATTCATCACACTGGCAGTGGTCAAGTGTGTAGTGCGCTCTGTATATTAAACACTGTGTAAATCAGTGTTGTTTGCTTACAGAAAAATTTGCAAGTGCACACTAGTATATACTGCAAAAATAGTAAGAGGAGTATGCAATTCTGAACACTGGTATAATCACATACTCTCAGGCCTATGCGTTATCATGTCATGCTCTTACTGTGTGAGGGATTGTGGGTCATGTAATGCTGGAACTCAAATGCAAAGAAAAAGAGTCCCTCTTCCCTATTCTGTTTATATATTACATCCATATGCGGGGGATGGAGAGCTGATGATGTAGCAGTGGGACTGGTGTGTTACGTTTAATCCATCTGCTTACTATTAGCACAGTATAGAGCGAGGAATGGGAACAGAGCGTGGAGCCCCCGTCACATCTGATCCACAGCACAGTTTCTGGAATAGCAACTCTTAGTCACTACAAAACCCTTAAGCAGCTTGTCAGCAAGACCTCGATTGCCACTTCTTGAAACAGACTCCAGGTAATAATGTGCTCTAAGTGGAGGGCACAAAATGCGCCATAGTTCTCTGTTAAAGTGAGGAAAAAGTACAGAATGCAGAATTTATAACACAATAAATGGATAGATTTCTATACACTTCTTTGGGAATTAAAAAAAAAAACAGTTAGTTTGGACTTGTAAAGATATTTTGATGTTTTTGAGGGAAGTAAAATATAGTATTGTGAAATAGTTACAATTTAAAACTTTTCTATTAAAATTTTTACTAATATATATATTGTTTTAATTTATAGAAGTAAAATGTTATTTATTCTAGTGATGCAAAGCTTAATTTTCAGTATCATTACTCCAGTCTTCAGTCACATGATCTTCAGAAATCATTCTGCTGATTTGCTGCTGAAGAAACATGTATTATCAATGTTCAAAAAACATTCTTTGATGAATAGAACATTCAAAAGAACAGCACTTATTTCAATTAAAAGTATAAATTCCTTTAAAAAATGGTTCCAAACTTTGAATGGCAGTGTACATTATCAAAAAAAAAAACTTTGTAGCAAATGAGTATCTGCCCGTTACCTTCTTACTGTTAACACCTTTACTTTAAAGCAGTGACTGGCATCTATTCTTGACACACACAAAAGGCGCTTGTGAGCTATAAATACCCAGACACCACTTTTAGCACATTATCATTCATATAAGCACCTCTCTTTCCCTCTCTCTCTCTCCCTCCCTCCCTCCCTCTCTCAATTCAATTCAATTAAGCTTTATTAGCATGACTGTGTAACACAATGTTGCCAAAGCATTAACATATATATAACAACAACATAAATAATAATAAATAAAATCCATCTAAATAAATGAAAAGATAAAGTCAGTATCGAGTTAATCGTGTTTAACATCTAACATTGTGAATGGTTAATACATATTTTGCAGCTAGTGCAGCTGTGTTGTCATCTCTGACCCTCTCTCTCTCTCTCTCTCTCTCTCTCTCTCTCTCTCTCTCTCTCACACACACACACACACAGTCTGACTTACAAGAGATGAAGGCACAAGGCGCACTGGTCAGATCGCGTTTTAAGACTGTAGAACAGGTGGATGTACCATCTAAATTTTTTTTCAGTTTGGAAAAAAAGAATGGCCAAAAATGGTTTATCCATTCATTATTTTCTGAGTCTGGATCTTTGTTGTCTGATTCTAAAGAAATAAGAGAAAGGGCAGTTAGTTTTTATGAAAAACTCTGTAAAAGGGAAGCAGGATGATGATTTTCCGTGGCTGGTAATTAATAGAAAATGTGCTGGTGAGTAAATGTCTCAAAACTTCAGGTTAAAGTTACCTACAGTATGCACTGTATGAGTTTATTGGAGTGCAATAACATGCCTGCAGCTTGTATCTTTCTTTAGTTAAAAATGAAGAGCTAGAAAATAACGAAATGAACTGAGCATAAACCTTTTTTTCTGCGTGATAAGTGATGACATACTGTTTAATAATAAACTCATAAGTGCATAAGCCAGGCCATGTCTCCAGGTTAGAACTGCTGATCTTAAATCCGTGAGGAGCTTATTGTTCAGCTTGCTTTTGGTTTCTCTGGTTTAAAAGGCCTTGAGCCAGTTCAGATATTTGATTGTAAAGAAAAATGTGCATGTTGGGTCTGATTCACAGGTTTCCATGTAGAGCACAGAGCTGAAATCGGATAGAAAAGCTGAGTGGACAGAATGATTTCCAGTATTCACCATTTCAGTTTAATCACAGTTCTAAAGTCTAGCTTGTTTTGGTTCTCTGGGATTGAGACAAAAGATTCTTCTCACAAAATGATTTATTTTTCTTTGTTTCCTGTCTTATTCTTTTCATTTATTCTGGTGTTTTACCTTAAAGGGTGCCCATTTTCCACAAGTTGATATGATTCTTTAGGGTCTTAATGAAAAGTCTGTAACATATGTAGGTTAAAATTTCTCAGTGGTAGTGTAAAAAACACCTTTTTTACCCTGTCAAAAACAGCTCTTTTCAGAGCACGCAGTTTTGCAGCATTTTCCTTTAAATGTTAATGAATTAGCATTCGGGGTAGTGCTGACCCCGCCCCTCTCTTCCGAGCTGTTCTCTGAGGGACTGTTTACTTAAGCCGCATTCATCGTGAAACTTGCTAATTAGCACATTATTAGGAAAGGCGATTTGCAAAGATTCATTAAAAAAACCTTACACTCACTTCTTCTGTAGGTGAAGCTGGATAACGAATGAGTCACACGAACATAGACGCATTTATGTAGATCGGGGGCGCATTCTCTTCAGTGAATGTAGCATCAATATGACCCCTTTAATATGTACTATAGTGCCCAACCTAGCCTATATTTCATATTTTTATGTATTCCCTACCAGTTTACAAGGCTAGAGGTTTTCTGTCTGTCTGAAGTCTTTGATTCGATTTTATTGCTTGTTCAAAGTTCAATGCCATTTTTAAATTTCCAATTGTTTTATGTGAATTTTTGATTATAAACAAAGACAAGGCCACAGTGATACACACAGAGATAAGAGGTCAAACAATTCAGATTTGTTATCTGCCCTGAGAAAGTCACATTCACTCCAAACCAGTAAACCACTCACTCCAGATCTGCGCCTCAGGTGCTCCTCAAGTGCTCTTTGTAGCTCATAATAATCGAGTTGGATGCATTTTAGATCCATCAATTCACAATTCATTTATATTTCTCCATCTTCTGATTCAGAGATCATTGAGAAATCCATGCAAAATACTGCTCTCAGAGGGAGGAGGAATGTTCATTATGTCAATGAACGGTCAGTCAGTTTGTCTCTGCACTCCCACAGACTCGCAGTTTGCTCACTGAGTGTCTGATCATATTCCCTGCAGAAATGGCAAGAGCTGATGATATTGCAATCAGATATTTGGTTTTATGCAATTACTGGGAGCACATATAGGATTCTTGGTTGATACATTAACTGTTTGATTCAAGTTAAAGTTGTTGTTAACTAAAATTAAAAATATCTTGTTAATTGAAATAAAGCTGAAATTAAATAAATATTTGATGGAAAAACTTTAATTGAAAATTAGAAATGTGCAACTAACCAAAGATAATTGTAAGTTGAAGCACTAAAATGGCTGAATGGAAATAAAATAACTAAAACTGAAATTAAAATAAACCCAAATAATCATTTGCTAATAAAAATGACGAAAACACATAAAATTACAAAAAACTGAAACTAAAATCAAAATGAAAAATGAAACTAAAATCAAAATGAAAATATAAAAATTTAAATAAAAGCTCATTCAAAATATTAATACAAACTCTTAACAGTATATAAAAATACTAACACAGTAACACTGGTTTGCACTTAATAGCATGAAGACAGAAATCCAAATCATCGTCTAACGATATTTTCTGATATATATATATATTAGTGCTGTCAAACGATTAATCCTGATTAATCTGAAATATATACATGCATGTGTGTGTATTTATATATACATCATAAATAATATGTATGTGCGTGTATGTGTATATATACAGTATATATATAAAGCATATATGTATGTTATTTCTGTACAAAACAAAAAAGTTCACAAAAGTTTCACATATAGTTCAGACTACAGAATCAGACTATAAAATGATAAAGGTCTCTTCCTGTCTGTGTGAGTTCACTTTGGAACAGTGGAACGGTTTTAGTTCCCAGTTTAGCTCTTCAGTTTTAGTCTGAAGTGAGTAGTCATGCTCATGAGTCTATGAGCCATATGGACTTAAAATAAT